CTCTGATTGATATTGATCATTTTTCTGCCATACGTTGTGACCGACATCAAAGACAAGGAGGCGGCGTTCTAATTTTACTGCGAAACATTTTCAGTTACATTGAAATCTTCTCCAACTCTACTCAAGAAGCATATGAGATACTAGCCATTGATATTTTTGTGGAGGACAAAAAGATTAGAATGGTTGCAGTATATAGAGCTCCTTCCTGTCCTTTTGAACTTAATGAGCAACTTTTAAATGTAATAAGTGATCTAACAATATGTGAACATCCTTCCATAATTGTTGGCGATTTCAATTTTCCTGATATTGATTGGAGAACAATGACGGCGAAGCAGAATTCATCTGATCAGGCCTTTCTGGACATTTTGTTAGCTCATAACTTCAAACAATACGTCTTGGAACCTACAAGAGGGCAAAATATTCTTGATCTGATACTTTCTAATGAGATTACTCTAGTGAACAATGTCACTATTGAGCCTCCGATTGGAAACAGTGACCATAATAGTCTTATGTTTTCCATATCGAGCTGCTATATTGAACCTCAATTCACGTATCGTAGGAGACTTTTCTAGTTGTGACTATGAAAGCTAAATCTTCTACCTCTCTACTATTGCCTGGAGGAATTCTTTAGAATCTGTTAACTCTGTCAATGAAAAATATGAAATGTTCCTATGTATACTCCATCATGCAATCGAATTGTTTGTTCCTGTGAAACGCGTATGTGCTCATAGAGCATATCTTCCGGCATATCTACAGAGAATGCATCGTAGATACTCTTTGTTTTTTGTGGCCAGAGGTTCCCAATCTGAATCAGATTGGGAGAAATTTCATGATTATTCATGTAAATTTGATCGTGCCCTCAGGAAATACAATATGCATGTTGAGAAAAAAATCATTAATAGTAACAACAAAAAGGATTTTTCAAACTATTGAATAAAAAATTACTGACATTTCGCAAAGTTTCTTGCATTGTGAAGGATGATTGTATAGCTGTACTAGATGAAGACAAAGCTAATTTATTAGCCGACAGATTCTGTGAGGTATTTTCTGAGGACGATAATCTGCTGCCAAGTTTTACTGCTAATATAGAATGTTCAATGTTAGACTTTCCTTGGTTTGATGGCTCATCAGGGTACTCGCTTCTTAAAGAACTGCCTTCTTCATCATCGCTAACTCCTGATTGTATTCCTGCGACGTTTGTCAAAAAGATTGCTCATATTGTAGCAGATCCGTTGGCTCACATCTTCAATCATTCACTATGCTCTTCTGAGGTTCCTCTAAGATGGAAACATTCGTTTGTTACACCTTACTCAAGAAAGAACCTGCTCAATCTGTTGATAATTATAGGCCTGTTCAGTATAACTTCATATTTCTGCAGATTGTTCGAGAAGGTTTTGAAAAAACATATAATGAATCACCTCGAAAGGAATGTAGTTATACCATTTAACCAGCATGGTTTCATTCCTGGTAGATCTGTAGAGACAAATCTACTGGAATGTATCAATGACTGGTGTGATTACCTAGATAAAAAGAAAGCTTGTGACGTAATCTATTTTGATTTTTCCAAAGCCTTCGATAAAGTTAGCCATACTAAGCTATTGTATAAGCTTGTGCAACTAAAGTTTCATCCTAGAATATGTCGTTGGTTGGAAAACTATCTTACAAACAGAACATTTCAAGTTAGGATCGGTTCAGCCTTCTCTGATCAAAGAGTTGTCAAAAGTGGTGTTCCTCAAGGCGGTGTCTTGTCACCTATCCTGTTTGCAATTTACACTGCTGAACTTCCTAGTCATCTGGAGAATTGTGGTGTTGTTTGTAAGCAATTTGCAGACGACATTAAAAATATATAGGACAGTAGAACGTGACGAAGACATTAGAAGAATTCAACATGCATTAGATATAATTCTAGAATGGTCAAATGAATGGAATTTACCATTAGCTCCAGATAAAACAGTCTATATGAGAATCGGTTCAATCTGACCTTAGCATGTGAATATGTTCTCGGTAACACGAATGTACTCAACCATGTCTCTTCTGTCAGAGATCTTGGGTTTTATTATGATAATAAACTCAGCTTTTCTAAGCACTATGAATCTCTCTATAATAAGGCAACATTCCGCACATATCAAGTTCTCCAAAGGTCTTACTATTAATGACAAGGAAGTCTTGGTTAAAGCATATAAGACGTACATTAGGCCTATCATGGAAATGTGGGACATCTGTATTCTGTCCTACTAAGAAAAAAGATATCAAATTCTTAGAGAAAGTCCAAAACAATTTCACGAGAAAGCTCTTTATCAAGTCTGGAGATTTCGTCTATTCCAGGATACCAGACTCAACTCACAGGAATACAGAATATAACTTGCATACTCTAGATTCTCGCCGAAAGCTCTATGATGCTTGTATGATTTTCAAAATTATGTGTGGTATCGCTAAAGTTGACTCATCCAAATTCTATCGATTAGTTTAACTCTAGAACTAGAGGGTCGTCGGAGAAGATTTCTTATGTAACTCCCAAAACAAGCTTAAAACTCTCGAGCTTCACTTGTAGAGCTGGCTCAACATTTATTTCTCTTAAAGTCAATATGCCGTTTACTCCTCAGGTTTTTGTATCGTTCAAACGTAGGGCAAAGAAGCAGTTATTGCGTTATTCAATGATGTGATTATATTGTTTGATTGTATGTAGTTGTGATTGCAGCTTTTACGTCTGCCTGCGAGCAGCGTCTAAAATAAATAAAAAATAAAATAATAAATACAATAGGGGCGGAAGTGGTGCAGTGACAAGTGGCGCGCTCACCACGCGAGCGGTCCGGGATCAAATCCTGGGTCGTGAGTCGCCCGGGCCAACCAAGCCTTCCATCCCTCCGGGGTCGGTTAATTGGTACCAGACTTGTCTGGGAGGATAAAAACACTGACTTGAACATCGGCTGGCCCCCGCAAGTA